TATTCCAAGTTCCTCTGACTATTCTGCTCTGATCTCATTGAGCCTCACTGTATTGAATGATGAGATGCTATTGTAAATTGTAGAGATGACCCCCCTATAACAAGTTGGAGTTTGCAAAATTATGTCTATACCTCCCTTAGGGGGTAAATTGGGAAAGCAGGGACTGACGGATGGGCGACTGTGGTTGTGTGGCAGAGTTGTCGTCTTGCAATCGGAAGGTTGTAGGTTCGATTCCAGCTTCGTCCTGCCATATGTCGATGTGCCTCTGGGCAAGGCACTTAACCCCAAATTGTCTACCGGTCTGCGTATTGGTGTATAAATGTGTGTGTGAATGTGACTCTAGTGTAAAGCGCTTTGAGTGGTCAAAATGACTGGAAAAGCGCTACATAAGTTCAGTCCATTTAATAATCCTTCTTTTCGTTGAGGAAAAACACTTTGCTTTGCTTTTAAAGGAGCTAATATTTTCTGGTAATGACCTGAAACCAAATATTATTCACCAATATGTTTCAGAACTTTCCAAGCACCAGCTCTCTTGTTAGCAAGACAAACGAGAGACTGGAGCTGAACAGAGAGAGCTCTGGCCCAAACCCCATTCAATCTGGAAAATAGGAGTGATATGATGGAAAAAAGTATTTTGAAACTGCTGGAATAACTTGAGACAAGTAACTGACTCATTGTACTGCCTGGTGACATCAGGAAAATAAAAAATATGAAGAACCTGCTCATATGGAGATGAACAGGTTTGCAATGTGGAGAGAGGTTGGGCTGCATTAAGACAGTTCAGGATCTAATGAGTAGTAGACAGAAGGCATAAAGTGAAAATATCCTCAAGTGATATTGATAGTAAAGGCTTTTTAAGCAAGAAAAACATGCATTATTCAGAGAACTAAATAGTTACGAAATGTAACGGTCAAAACAAAAGCAGAAAGCTGAGTATCTTACTGCTGTGTTATTAGTCAAATCATTTGTAGGTCATTGCACTGATTTAAAAATTCAGAGCACTGTGTGGTGATTACCATAAACTTCACATTTATTATAAAGTTCATAAAAAGTTCACTGCAGGCTTTTTGACGCAGGTGTACCCTCAAATCTGCAATCTTCGTGCCAGTAGAATTTATTTCAAAAGGATTCATAAGGGCACCAATAAGCAATGCAGTAGATGTTTTTGTTCAACTATTGTTTTGCAATGTGAGATTTTTTTTCCCCCACTGAATAAATGTAATCAAATAATTTTAGATTTTTCAAACTCTTGTTGTGATATTGTACAACTGCAATAAGAGGATTTTATTTTAAGACGTTTTACACATCTTTACCAGGGTTGCCAAAAATTTCTGCCAATATAACAATATAATCTTAAAGACCAGCTTTGATTCACTCTTGCCATTTTTTTTGACATAGCTTCATACAATATATTTGTACCTGCATGAAAAAAAACTACTTTTCTAATTACACTGACAAACGGTAATTGCAAATTGGAGGAGAATAATTTCTGCTGGGCCAATCTGTTTTTGATTTACATCAGAAATAATTTAGTGGGTGAAAGATGAGGTGCCAAATTCGTGGACTTAATTACTCTTTAATTATCAGGAATCACACCTTCAGGACACAGCAGAGGCACATGGGGAAATGAAGAGTAGGAGTTCACTGTAACACTAAAGGGATTCTAATAAAACACTGAAAAAACTCAAACATGGTGTATGGAGGGAAATTAAATCTTTTATTTGATATGTCTGTTGGGGATTTTTCATTCTGTGCTGAAAACATTAGTTTGTATGTTAAAGACAGGAACACATACCAGGGGAACCTGATGACAGATGCCATTTAAAGAGCTCACATACCGTCCAAACAGGTAGGCTTTAAATTTACATAATAGTGCAGAGCTAAAAAAATGGTGCGAGTGCAGCTGGAGGAATTGGGAGTTGAGAAAAGCTCAATTTGCGTTTATGTTCCCATTGCACAATCTCATTGATATTTCGAAATCCATTTTCAAAAACACATACACCTACACTTGTATTGTACCCATTGCCTGAACTCAAATCTAAACACGCTTTTATTCGTTTGTCCTTCTCGTCTTTACTGACTCACATCATCCGTCAGCCCTGTGTTTCTCGCGCTCTCGGCTTGTCAGTTACTCAATCCATCACTGATGTTTTCCTCCCTCGCTTCGCTTTCCTCTTCTCCTCCTCTAGCATTTTGCCTCCATCTCATCCTCGCTCTCCCTCTTCCACACACCCACCCATTTTTCCATCCATCCGTCTTTCAAGTACCCGAGTTGTTCAGGTGATTTCCACGCACTTTGCTTAATATATGCTGATGATAATAACCTATCGACCCACTCCTGCACAAATATATGCATTTTCCTCTCTTTCCATCCATCCTTTGTTCAGACCAGAGGGAACAGCAGACAAATGAGAGGAGGGTAAAAGTGGATGGCCACTTGATTGAGCATTGATACTAACGGGCCCCAGTTTCCAGACTGAAAGCACATTTGTTTCTCTGATTCATGCTCTGTTCATTTCCCCCTAACCCCCAAAAAACAGGCATTCATTTAATTTTGATGTAAATGTTGTTAATATCCATCTTCACATGGTGCAATGTTGAAACTATGGGACTAAACAAAATTGATGATGGTTCATGTTATGAGCACAAATGAGAAAAATTGAAAAGAAGGTTTAAGTCTTGTTTCCTGAGCATAGATTGGATGATCTTCAGTTTGAACAAATATGGTAAAATAAAGATGAATTATCAATTTTCAATAAAGAGAGTTTCATTCAAAATGTTATTGTACCGTCATCTTACTGAAATATTTAGATCAAACTGAAAAGAAACTGTCTTTTGTGACAGAAAAAGAAAAGGTCTCATTAAAATACAGAGGTTCAGTAAAGCTGGTTTGCAAAAATTACTAACTAATTAATAAGAAGTCTTTATTTAGTGTCACATTATCTTAAGCAGCTCATTCAAACCATCAGGTGCCTGCTTATTTCCTCAAACCACCTGCTACAAGCTGCTGTTCCTGGCTTATTTCTCCTTGTAGCAAAGCAGCTTCCCGCTGCTTAGATTTCTAACTAAACATTCCCGGTGCATTATGTTTATTCCCATCTCTGTGCAGTGTGATGCCAGGATCTGCTTTGTGGAACTCTACAGGGAGGGTCTTAGTGCTCTCTCAGAAGAAATCCAGCACTTGTGCTGAGATTCATTGACTAAATACTCTCAGGAGCAGAGCCCATTGTCCCAGTACAACAGAGGAGCCGTTTATAGAAATGGAAAATGGCAAAATGTTTCTAGGAATTCTATCAGTGCACATATGTGAGTGGTGTTCAGATACTTGGACTGGGTTGAAGCTATGCTAATTCTCCAACTGTTAACACCATAATGATCTGGCAGGACACTGTAGTGCAGACTCAGCCTCGTTGTTTGTGTTATATGAATATCATGTTCCTGAACAGGCTGTGAAACATTCATTGCACATTTGATCAATGCTAAATTGGTCTTTTTCATATTAGATCCTCCGAAACATCAGACTCTGTGACTTATTGGACTTTGTAGCAGAACTGAGTGCTCACAAGTAAAGCTTGTTCATACGAATCTTGCATATTTTTTTTTCCTTGTTTCAGTCAAAGGATAAACATACTCTGTTTAGAGCTCTCATTTTAGTCTTAGCAAAATTTCAAATAAATACACCAGAAACCGTTAGCATGGTGTATGTCATTACATTTTGGAAAAATCTAAAGTTCCCATTTTAATGTGGTTTTACATCAGGAAATGCCTCACCTAGATTTATTCCATTTTTTAAAATCTTTTGGATCAACAACACAGTAGATCAGGCGATGTATTGGGACTGTCAGCCATTAGCTTTTAGCCATCATTATCCAACCATTCCCACTAGCTTTACTCTATTAGCCTTCCTGCATTATTTATCTGTTTTTTGAAATCGTAAGTGTCTAAACTTCTTGTCTGAGAAATTTGTTCCTTGCAATATTTGCAAGGACAAATTAAGCCACTAAAAGCAGAAAACCTGCTATTTTCCTCGGAAATAACATGGTTTTTTTTAATAGAATTTTGAAAAAACAATTATGAAACAATTGGAATTAAGCAGCTAACAGGTACTAGCTCTTATGAGAAGTTGTTCAGAGCTATCACATCTCTGATTGGCATCAAAATGATCAGAATCACTCAGTGTGGAAGAAGGTAGTTTTGTGAATGCAGGATCTTGCAGCACTAAGCTCTAGTTGTCTGGCTGTCAAAACCCATCGACGTCAGTGGAAGAATCACTCATGAATGTAGGGCCAGGAAAGAAACACATGAGAAAATCAAACATGGGGATTGATCATTGTCATCTTCAGGAGAAATTGTTTGAATTCAATTTGCAACATCCACCCACCGATCCATTAAAATTTAGGTTGCTGAGCTAACAGGCTCAGAAGGGAAACTGAGACGTCCCTCTCAGTTTCCAAGTCCTATCAGTCACTCTGGGGTATCCCAGGGTAAGACTTGTACAATGTACCACAACACAACTTCAGGAGTCTAATGGAGTCATTGGCTCAACAGGTCAGGGGTGTGTCGGCAGAAAAAGAGGGACAACACACCATTTGGCAAGTGTTATGTTGAGCCTGCTTGGTGTACAGTCCCTCAAGCCTGCTTTGGGCCAGCCTGAGGGACTTTCCCCAGTGGGACCTGCCTAGTACAGATCCAATCAGCTTTGAGACAACCTGGTCAGAGACACATAAATCACTGAACAATAAACTTGTTTCATGTAGCTTACAGTCAAAATTAAGTTTGAATCCTTCATAAGATTCTTTCTTGTGCTACATTTCTTAAAATTCTACATTTTCTTTTGCTTCTCATTGTGAATCCAAGTTTGAAGTGTAGATGGCCAGCACCACTTTCTAGCCAAGTAGCCACTTAATGAAACTAACCAAATTCTGACTCTGCATGAATGACAACTCAAGAATAGTTAGCAGTAGTTTAACTCTAGGTCTCTGTTGTTTTCCGTGCTATAGCTTGCCCAGGATGAAGGGAGCCCAGTGAGAGGTTTTGGTGTGGTGGAGTACGAGAGCGCAGAGCAGGCTGAAGCCGTGCTGACGGAGATGGACCGAACTCTGGTGGGAGGACAGGAAGTTCGTCTTTCGCTTTGCACCCCCGGCACCTCAGGGAGAAGCACCTTGGCTGCTCTCATTGCTGCACAGGGTATGGTGAGTAAACTGCACACAAAGATCAGCAGCACCAGCAGCACATGCATGAGAAATGGAGCGCATTATGTGCACCATTCACCACTCACAGCTTTTCAAGTACAAACTAACACCCACATGTTGGGTTTTGAACCCCCTCTGTTAAGATTTCATCTGAACCATGATTTTTTTCTAAAATTCTTTGTTTCGTATCTAACCCATATTTGTTAGGAAATCCTAATAGATAAACATTACCAGTTAATTATATTATTCATAGACTTCTTAAACGTGCAAGTCAGTCTTAGAAGGTTACTTGAAATAGTCAACGAATGGATCAGTGTTGCATGTGGGTTTGAGGCTAGTAAAACCATAACAGACATCATCATCCTGTTTAATTTTAAAATCAGATATTTGAAATAAAAACTTTTACCATTTGGTCAGTAACATTTCTGAATGCATCATACACCAGCTGAAAAATTCACGGCAACATGAAAATGTGATTTAACAAGTTTCCCACCAAGCTTGCATTTAGCCCCGGCTACACTAAGTTAACATTAGAGCACATGAAGATGATTCAATTAGACTGAACGCTCCAGGTTCTCAGATAACTTTGTTTAAAAAACAGACTTTTCTATGGAAGGCTTGGTCATGTGGTAAATTTTGATATGTTGCCTTGTAACAGAATTTTTCTTATCCCCCATATGTCATTCAGTCTGTTGCATATTGAAAATAATTGATGGAGCAGATTTGTCCCTGCTGCTGTTTTACACTAAGCTGTTTAATTTACAGCTCATCTTTCTTTCATGAGCCCTTACATTTAAATTGGGAGCCTGAATTGTTCTCATCATTGTAATATATGGGAGTTAATTATTTGTTGAAGTGATGTTGCACAGTTAATGAACTACATATTAGACCCTTCTCTAGGTATCTCAGAGGTCTCTGACCTCCACTTCACTTTGTAGCACATAAGAAAAGAAGTAATGTCTGCCATGATTGCCAGTTGATCTAACAAAAGAATCCATGAAAATAACACTTATGACCTTAAACACATCTAACTCCGGTGAAATGTGCAGCAGGTTTTTTTTACTACGACTGTAGGAGGGTTTTGGCTGTATGGTGTTGCTCTCTAAATCTTCACTGTAAATTTAGTGCAACCTCATTTGTTAGACCTCCGATTTTGTGTGTGCCACTGGCATCACAACATTTCCTATCTGGAAAACCATATGCTGCATCACCGAATCACTGAACTTTGCGAGCACATGAGGAATAAATGCTCACAGCTAATTGTGAAGCTAATGCCAACTGGTTATTTTGAATCCAGAGTCGAGACGAACCAGGGTTTGACTTGGTTTCACATGCATGAGCACCCTCTGGCTGAGAGACTCTTTGGAGCTGTGATGTCCCTCCTACACAGTGCTGTGGTTGCAGAGAAGCATTGACATGATAATTATAGTTCTGCAGACTGATTGGGCTCCTCCACTGTCTCCCGTTGCCTGAAATAAACTGAAGTCACAGCTTAAGACATAGTAATGTTCTCACACATATATATGTGCATCCAAATGTATGAACACCAGCACACAGGATCAAATGCAAGGAAGAGTTCATGTCAGCTGAAGTGAAGGGAATGCACATGATAATTTTTGTGGGTTTGGTTGTGTAATTAACCTGAAATTATTGCCCACTCTCTTGACAAACTCTTTTTGAGAAGTTATTTGTGTGCTAGAGGAATCGGACAGATTTACAACTAAATTTTACTTCTTTCTTATGATTGATACTGAACTTTTCTTTTCAAATCAATGCAAAAACCAAGCTCCTATAATTGTGCCCACAGCGTTAGCATCTTTCTTTGCTAGTCTCTTACAATGCCTTCCTGTTGCTTAGAGTTAATTATCTCCCACCATTGATCACTGATTAGATTGAGATCTGGACTATTAAAGGGTGGCTAGTGCTGACCCATTAGCTCTTCCTGATGCCTTCAATTGCATGTTTGAGATCATCTTGTTGGGCTCCAGAGTTTACCAGCCAACTATGTTTTTGTCTTGAAGTGTTTGTAATTGAGTTTTTAAAAGCAAAAAACAAACAGCTGTAATTGTTTATATTTATTCTTAATGTTCAATGGCCTGAATCAATAATTAGTTGTAGTTTTTGTAGTCTTTCTTGTCAAACTGAAAAGAGACTGTCTGAATTCTCTTTAATTTTGTGCACTAAATGAAACTAAGTGTTTTATGTGCCGTTAAGTGAGGGTGAATTTTCTAGCAGAAGTTGAGGGGAGCTTCTGCATGGCTATATGACAATAACTGCAAATAAAAATTCACCCATGCAGCGACACAGTGTCTCTCTGAAAAATGAAATAAAATCAGTCTTTATTAGATAGAGCAGGAGAAATCCTACTTTAAGAAATAATTGTTTTTCAGCCAAGTCCCAGAAACTCCAAACAACTAATTAACACGGCAATTTTATTTTATATTTGGAGTAAAGCATCGCAACATTGAGTCATGAGATATAAACAGAGTACAGAAAAGAATTAAAAATTCCAAATCAAAATTTGCAAAATAAAGGCAAAGAGATGCAGCCATGGTAGCTATGACAGAAGTAAAAATTATTTTGTTTCCTGATCGGTATACAATCACCGGACTGACTGCAGGTAAAAAGGTTACTGTTAGACTTAGACTTAGACTTAGACTTAGACTTACACTTCCTTTATTGTCATTGTACAAAAGTCTGACTTGTGTCTGAGTTCAGAAAGAAACTTGAGAAGGACAGAACAATGAAGAGGTGAAGAAAAAGGAAGCATCAGTGAGTACAGTGAGTTCAAATCTGTAGCCTCAGGGTTCTTCAGGATTCTTTCAGTAAATGTGAACTGCTGGTAAAAGACACATCAGACCTTAAGAAAGAGATCAAGACACACTCTGGTCTCCAGTTCTCCTCCGAGGCGGTTCTCTCATTCCTCCAGTTGGATGAGTGTGATGGTGAATGCTGAGGACCAGATGGCTCCCTCCTCCCTTCTTCTTCTGAGATACTTCTCGCCTTCCCATCTTCACCCCTTTCTTACCTCCCTGGCATGAGTCTGCTGGTATGTAGCTGGGTTTTTTTTCTTTTCTTTTTTGGCCGGTAGGCAAACAGACCAAAGCATGCTGACATTTTCTCCAGCAGAAAAAAAAGGAAATGAAAGCTCCTCTCTTCTCCTCCTCCTGCTGTCCTGCTCTTCTCTTCTCCCTCGAAAGATGCTGTCAGCTATGAGCGGCCTTGTTCAACACCACTAACACACACAAATGCTACTTTTCCCTCCTGCAACACACACGCACACCCACGTGTGCACTCGGCTCTCCTCATCCGCAGACGAGATGCAGTCGAACCCACTCTGTACCCCATCAGTGGAGCTCCGTCTGTGGGATGTGACAGGGAGGAAACAAGCTGGAGTCATGTTGTAGCTGTGGGGCAGACAGGGAGGAAATATCATCATCCTGCTAATGTTGTTTTAAATATCCATGTCTCTGGGCCAGCCGGCGAGTTCTGCTGCCGAGCTGTCAGTGCTGCTGAGGCTCTATCACAACCGGCATTTCCTCATTCCACTTGACTCATTCAGTCCGATTTCATTTGAGTTTGCTGAATTTAATTCACTGGGAGTAATGGCCATTTAGATTGTTGTTTGGATGTTTTTCACTAAACCACAGAAGTCTGAAAAGAGCTGGTCAATTTTCAACTCACATCATGTTTACTTGAGTAGAATGTTTTTTTTAAATATTTTTACTGATTTAATTGAAATATACATATATTTAAGAACCCCTTATTTCAAGGTTTCATGTTCTTTGAAATAAAATAATATGCATCTATAAAGAATCTGAAATCTAACGTACAATGATATGGTTGACATAAGTGCTTTCCAGAAAAGCTGCATTTCATTTTGACGTTCTGCATGCTGTATTTTAGTCATTTGGTTGTTGTTTGTATCTGAACCAATTTAATTGTATCTCAGATTAAAAAAAAAAAAAAAAGGAATTTGAAAACGCTTTGCAAATAAGATTTACATAAAATTCCATACTCTATGCATATTCTCAAGGAAATTGTTTTTTTTCACGCTTCATTTATGAAGCGGTTTTAGTTTTTCCAACCTGATTTTGATGTGTAAAATTGGCTAAAAATGTGTGAATCTGAGCACTTCTCCAGTATTTTTCTGTCTTGTTTTTGGTAAACCCTTCCAATCCGATGGCTTCAGTTTCTCAGCTTGTCCCTCCGTTTCTGTTTTTCTCGTTTCTCCCTGAGACCAACTCCTCTCTGCTGACATTGCAGATGCATCTTTATGATGTAAACCTTTGTAATGGTTACCGCTGCTTTCAGGAGCTTCTAATGAAAAGATCAAAACGCATCCTGCCGTAACACACACATGAACACAAACTTTTCTGCTAACTTGTGTGGACATTTTGTTTCTTGTCTTCTCTTTAGATTCTGAGTAACAGAAAAGGTTTACTACCAGAACCAAACCTGGCTCAGCTGTTGACTAGTATGACCAACCCAGCTGCCCTGCAGATCCTTATGAGGCCGTACCAGGGCGGAAAAAGAGGAGGTATGTCTCCAGAAGCATCAGCCATAAATAATGAGATATTTTCAAATACAAAATTGGCAATGTGAAAAAAAAATAAAGTAGTTTATTTTGGTTACTGAAAATAAAATTACATTGATAGTCCTGTTCTGTTGCATTGCTATCAGAGATGTAGTTTTTCTTTAGTTGTAGTTGAAGGGTTTTGTGCCACACACGTTGCTGCAGATGTTAGATGCATGCCGTAAAAACACAGCAGGGTTTTTTAACCACCATAGTGAACAAATTATTTAATGCAACTTTACTTTGGACTTTACAAATGTACAAGTGAGGCTTTTTGAAGACATTTTGTCCTCTTTCTCTAGCAGCTACCTGCTGGCAGCTAATGAAAGGATGTAAACACTTACCTGACTGTTTGCTTTCCTAGTCTGGTTTGTCTGTTTAACTTTTTACTGGTTTGTCAGATGTTTTGGACTTGTATCAGTTTATTGTTTGGCAGGGCGACTAAAATGATAACAGTGGTTTTAATCCTCTGTTAAGAGCCTCAATTTCAAAGTATTCTCCCTGCTCATAAAAACAGTCTGAATGCTGAGTGCATGTGGTGTTTCAGTACCAGACGGTAATGTGACCCTGACAGGTATGAAATTTAAAAATCCACAAACTGAATATCGACGGCAACAAATGTGTGCACATTTTTAAGCATATTTTCCAAGTAGGACAAACACAACAGTTTTAGGCTTAACAGGTGATGTGAACTTTATTCACATTTTACAATTTCAGTGCATTTTTTGGGTATAAAAGGTTAATTAATTTCTTTCTGTTTGCATTGATGTTTGTTGAAACATGCATGTAGAGCTAAAAAAACAACTGACCCAAAAACTTGCACAACAACAACATGCCAACATTCAAGAATTTGTATAACGTAGCAGATTTAAATGCCTATCAAAGTCTCAAACTATTTCAGTAATCTTCTCACTCCAAAGGGACTCGCCTGGTAATCAAAGACCTGCCGCCTCTGAGTGCGTCTGTCTGTGAGGCTCTCCTATATAGGCTTCTGAAATCATCTAGTCTTCATTATTTGATGAATGGCTAATCAGGTATTAAAATGAAATTGTGTGACATTAGTGGAACAAATGGGAACAGGAAGGAGGGAAGATGGGAGAGGTGGTGGTGCTCTCCTTCATGCTCCTTCTTAAACAGGAGCATGCACAATTAAATTCTAAAATTAGGGCCTTGATTAAATGTTAAACTTTCTGCACCTATTCTGGTGGAGCCTACCATTAGCATTGACGCTTCGATTTATTCTGAGGGGGCGGTGAAATTTGTGGGTAACTCACTGCACATTAAAGCTGAAGTAAAGGCAGAGGTTGGTTAGTACTGACTCCTCAGTGTGGTGAATAAAATCAGTCATAGTCTCATAAAATGAGGCTTCATCTGCTATTAAAGCTAACCTAAAAACAACAGAATGTGTCATTTTGGTTAGTAGGACTCAGTTTTGACATTATTTTTGCTTTTGTCTTGTGGACCACCAGTCTTCCATTTTCATTACCTACAGGGAAAAACAACTTAATGAAATAGTATTAAAATTATTATCTCATAGAGTCCCTGTACCGATGCACCAATGTATTGTTTCTTCTAATGTGAACAGGAACTTGAACTCAGGCTGTGACTGATATACACTTGCTCAGTTGACCCAGTTTTCACAAATTACATGCGAGCTATTGGTCCTTCAGCTTTACTTCACTCCACAGATTGAATACCAGTCATGGATTTGTCCAAGACAATCAATAATGTTCACTTATTGACTGTACTGCTGGTGCTTCATCACCAGCAGTAATTTAGTTTTCGGTTCTTGTCATATTGGAAGACAAGAACATAACTTGGATCAAGTTTAGGTGATGACTTCTTTAAGTTTGTGCTGTAATGCTCCCAAGGCTGTGGTTATCCTGGTTGCTTATGCAACTTTTTCTACTGAACTTTTTCCTTCCATTCAACTTTCCATTTATATAAGTACTGACAGCACTCTTTAACCTACCAGCTTCTTTAGCAAAGATTTCTAAAAAATATTTGTAATTTGTCCGAGAATCCAAATTTTGAATTTTCATTTATATTATGAAATAAGAGCTTAAAGTATCACTGAGTGTTATGAATGGATATAAAGATATTGATAAAATTGACTGTTTAATTATGTTCTTATTGGAATTCACATATCCTATGTAGCACATAGTTGCTTTTTATTTTTATAAAAAGCCTTTTTTCTGTCAAATTGGATCTCAGCATCAGTCTCAACAGTAATGCTTTTTGCCTTATGCAACAGAAAGAAAGTCCACGGATAATTGCTGCAACATTTTCAGCCTCTTTGAATCTAAACAGAACTGTACATTTGTTATATGGTCCATAATTTCTCTTATATTGCATGTCTTGTGTTGGTTATACAACAGATAGCTGTGTGTGTCTGAAATGTGCTTTAAGTGACTGACTACTTTAAATTACGTATGACTTTATGTGTGTTAAATTTAGGGAAGATTGATTTTGTCCATTAGTGGCTTTTAAAGAATAGGAAGAAAAATGCTAGAGGAGGCAGTGATTGATGTTTCTGTGCATCGTTTTGTTCTTCAGGAAAGTACGGTCGTAATGCAGGCCTGCCGTTCCTCAGACCTCCTCTCACTGCTGCCCTCCTAACACTAGGAAAGGCTCACCAGGTCACATTGAACACACCATCTTTGTGAGATTTTTGCAGCTACTGTGTTGGTTCCCATGTGAAAGTGAAGTTTTTATTATTTTGCTGCGTCCCTCCAGAATGCTATGGTTGGTAATGGACTTGTCCTCCAGAATCTCCTCCACATGCAGCTCGCGCAGCAGCAGCTTCTTCACATCAAAGACAAACGCATCAGCAGTGTAAGACAGCTGAGTTTTTTAGGGGGTTTTTTGTGCGTGTGGGTGTGTGTGTGTGTGACATTTTGCATGAATTATTGGGGAAGGCAGATTGTGTTCTTTGACACATGTTCACTTATATTTCCAGCGCCTGCACTAAATGCATAATGAAACTGAATCACCTAAAAATCTCTCTACCTAATTGTCTTTTGTTTTGTTTAAAGTAAGAGCTGGAGGTGATAAAGTTTCCCTTGACATTTCCATTTACATATTTTCTTTTCAAATGTCTCTCATGTTTTCTTTAATTGCTGAGAAGAACAAAGGTAAAAGTCACAGTCGGTGATGCTTAGATGCTGAAACTTGCAGACCAGATGTTTTACTAATGTTATTTTCTCCCTCAGGCTCCCCACAGCATTGAAAACACTAATCCGTTATGTATTTTAAATGGAGCTTTTCTATTGTTCGCCCAGTGGCATTACTGAATCATTTCCACATTTTTGGCTTATGCAAGAAGGAAAATTGTTTCATAAAAATGCTAACTATGTCTGTTGTACTCTACATTAGTTTTCATTCTATTGTGTAAAAAAAACCCCAAAATTATATTTTGTTGTAAATTGCTTTATGTTAATAAAGTTGTACTGTGTGTGTCTTTTCTGCTGTTTCATCTCTTCTAATTTATCCTTTGCTACTTCTTCTTCTCTTTTCTAATACTCGTCTTTCCTCTGCCTTCATCAGGTCACTAGTCTGCTTGGAGACCCTTCAAGGCTACTGATGCAGAAAGCTTTGTCTCTTCGACCTCCAGGTCTTCTGCCGCTGGGGAAAGGCCTCCTGGGAGATTCCCCTACAGGTGAGCAAAATGTACTCATAAGACACCACTGAAACTGTTGGATAGTATTTGAACTCAGAACAAAAGATAGAAAACCAAGGCCTACAGTTTGTCTCACCAGGAACTTGATCAAATACTAGCTTCTTTTGCGAACTAGCTCTGTCTGAAAGCATTTAAGGACAAAACGTTAATTTATCCTGCTCCACTATTATGCGAGTGGAGATTACATAAAAACACCATGTTCCATGGTGTTTGTTCAAAACATTTTATAACTACCATCTCACTGAACACCAAACTTTTTATCTACAGTGAACCCCCACCTATTCACATCTACTCAATGTTTGTAAATTTACCAAATGTTCAAGTTCTCCAGAACCTCAACTCCAAAGTATTTGGGCTCTGAGAGAAAACATTTTCTGGAGGAATTCAAAGTTGACTTTAGTCAATAATGTTCTCTATTCTAAAATGATAAGTTAGTGTTAGCTCAAGAAGATTCTTAAAGAGGAGGATTTTAAACAAACTTGAGATCTAATCCACATTGTGTTCATGCTCAGCAAACTATTCATAGACGTCTAGAGCCCAAAGGTAGGGATATCTTCATTTGGGAAGATCATCGCTGACACAAACTGTGAACTCGCTGACACAAACTGTAAGCATTTGGGTTGTCAGAGCCGAATATCTCACAACTGCACATTACTGTACAAAACATCCCCAGGAAGCAGCGGTGCATTTTCAATTTAAATCCCCAGGAGAGACGAGGTGTTGTTGCTTTAAATGGAAATAGTATCTCACATATAATGCACGGAGACAAAGCAGACATTTGCGTGTACTAATGTGTTTGTGGGTCTGTCCGTCTGTGTGTGGCTTGTTTGTGAAGTAAAGCCATAATCGGTGTTAGTTTGGAATGTTAGCCTCAAGGCTCGTTAGAGCCAGTTCTGTCATTGTGCTGCAGAGGTTATTTGTCACAGTGTTATTGGATCTGTAATATTTATGACTGTGTGTGTTCACCTTTGCGTGTGTCTTTTGTTTATATGTGCACGTACATCTTTTTGTTATTAAACCCTGGAGTGAGCAAAAGGGATATTGGGAGTATGCAGCTAAGTGCTGAGCTGTAGATGAGCACGATAAGTGATGAAGGATGAGCAGGAAGCCCATTGTAAAATATTACAGTCAGCTCCACAGAGACAGTCAGGCTGGAATCTCAGGTTTCACCAAGACAGTTTTTGCTTCCAGAGGAGACAGACACTGATGGTCATCAGTAAAATCTGTTTCTTATAGAGTCTCCCATCCTTCTCCCACCTTACTTTGCTTAATTTCCTCTACTTTATTTCTTCGCACTATCTTTCTCCTTTCTTATCTTCCCTTTCCCTCTGATTCATTTCCTTTGCCTTTTTTTTTAATCTTCTCTGTTTTTCCATCTTTTTTTATTGTAGAGTTGCTCCAGGATTCTGTGCCAAATTCTACCCATAACTCTACAGTAGTGGTGTCAGCAGCAGGTGTGATGCCATACCTTCAGGGTCGAGGAGCAGGAACAGGCGGGGGAGACCAAAACATCTCCCATTCTGTGTCAACAACCCCTTCTGCTTCCTCCTCTTCCTGTCCCACCTCCTGCGACAGGCAGCCGGCTCCTCCTGGGACGATGGGGAGCGCTCAGCCACAGGGGCAGACGTTCTCTTTGGGTATAAGTAACTCAGGTCTTGGCCCGCCTCCACCTAAGCCCCCTGGAGGAGGGTATGCATCATCAGGCCAGCACAACAGCTCAGATGGTAACAGCCTGACTAACATGGTGAGCATAGCAAGGTGTAATAACACCACCCTGTTCCATAGTTTCTTCCTTCTGCACGTAAGATCAGCCAAAATCACACTCTTCTTGTCTTTGAAGATTTTTGCTTTACTGGATTACACCACACTTCTTCTTTATTTTAATATGAATCAGACCTGCAACCGATGATAACCTTAATAGCAGATTAATCTATCGATCATTATTGATTAATTGATTCTCCAGATTTTCATTTAGCCACTAAATCTTTTTCTAATGCAGGTAGAATTACATCAAAAGATGCAAACAAACATCTTTTACAAAATGTTTATTTCAGCTGTATTTATAACACAATTGCTATCGTGTTATAAATACAGCGCCTTGCAAAGGTTTTCATATCACTTGACCTTTCAAACATTTTGGCATGGTACACAAATGTCAATATATTTAATGTGACAAATCAATGCAAAATAACACATTATGAATTGGAAGGAGCACTGTGTGGTTAAAGCGTCTTTCTCTCATCAGGTAAACTGTGGTCAGAATTCTTTATTGGGCGATCCTCCTAAAGAAGTGAGACTGCCTTCCAATCCTTACCTGAACTTGGCCAGCGTGATGCCGGGAGTTGTTCTGCAAAGTGAGTGAGAAAACGTGCACAAGGGGAAATTAGCTTGATTAGGTTCTGTCTTTTATTGTGTAAGCTGTTGGACAAACGGTGTCAGAGTAAGACTATAGTGGATGGTCTACCTATGTTACAAAGCTACATTTGCATTGAATATACTAGATTTTATATCTGAACAATATGTGCTTGATTTGTGAGGTTATAAATCTGCTAGGTTGCTTATTTATTTGTGGAAAGCAGCAGAAGTCAGCATAGAGTCACATGTTGAATCTCTCTTGCAGCATCATTTCCCTGGGGTGGATGTACCTTCAGTACTGTGTAAACATTTATGGCTCAACATGCCTTGTCCAAGGAGATCTGCTCTGGTTGGAGGCTCTGGAAAAAAATTTAAAAAATGCCAGTCTGAGCCTGCATCATCTATGTGTGTTCAGCTTCTATTCTCCGGTCAGCTGCAACATCAGATCCTCTGGCAGGTGGAGGCCATGAAATGTTCTGCTAAGTAACTGTGGGTCCTGCCACTCATGTGGAAGCTACTTTGACAAGTTCCACCCACCTGGACATTGTTGGGGGAAAACAAACTTGGACAGCAGCAGTCACTTTCAGCAGCAGAATGTACAACATTGGGAAAAAATCGCTCAACATTTTTTAGCACGAAATGAAAAATTATCCATGGGTATTAAATGTCATAACACACTAAGGGTTTCTCCTTGAAAACATACCAGGGGCGCTCGGGCAGTCCAACAATGGCTTTTTGTGGGAAAACATAGTGAAAGTTGATAAGAAATTTAAACACCAAGTAGTTTTAAAAAAGACAAACACAAAAAATGCAATAAATAATATGCATGTCATGAACTTGAATCAAATGCAAACTCGGCAATCAGCAAGTGGATCTTAAAACAAGCTAGTCAACAGTGTTGGTCACATTTAAAGGTTGAGATTACAGAATATTCATGTATTTCACTGACCTATCAAAGTCCAGACCAAGTATAATTGTAAATATGTGGGAAAGCCTGATGTTTATCAGCAAACTCCATCTGATCTGACTGAGCTTGAGCAATTATTCAGAGAATAAGCAAATTATTTTAATTTGTAGATGTTCAAAACTAGTAAACGACTTAAAATATGGAATGGAACAAAAACTCTTTCAAATATCGACTCAGGAAGGTTACACACGCTGCACATGTTGGATTTTTATTTCTAGGAAATAAAAAATAATAATAAATTATCCATGTTTTTTTACATTATCTTATATTCGACTTTGTATTGGTCTGATCCCAGAAGGGGATTGTGGCTGTGATGTGATAAAGTGTGGGAAAAGTCAAGCAGCACACCACCTTTACCAGCCCCTGTACATCTGAATCAGACACTGCATCTTCTGTTTGTCTCCCATCAGACTCAGTGGCTAACAAGCCTCAGGGAGGACAGCCCGGCACCGGGGTGTATGGGGGCCCAGTGGCTCCTGTGGCCTCACAGGGCGCCGCCTCGTTCTCTCACAACGCGGCGGCTACAACCCCCGCCCCATACAGCTCTGACACCTCCTCCGACTTCACCCAGTACAACCAGGCCTACACACAGGTACCGCAAAACAAATTTGTTAATATCTGTTGCTCTGAATTGTTAGCACCTGAATTGCATAGGTGATGGGGAGATTTAACTGTGGGTTTCTGGGAGAAGAGACAGGGAGAATGAGAGTGGATTTGGCAGCGTGTGTCTCCATCTGTCCCTGCTTCCCTCGTTTCTCAGCCCTCCTCTCAAAATAAGTTGTGAAGCCCTCCTACGGGCAGTTTGTCTGTTCCTCCCGTCCATTCTTTTCTCTTTCTCCCCTGTCACTCCATTCCTCCTCCAGCAGCAAATGACATATCTGATATTTAGTGGCAAGAAGAAAGCCCCTTTTCTAAATGTTAATTACAATCTACTCATCCAAACAAATGAGTCATGATTAGATAACCAATAAAGCAGTCTGCTTAATTTGTCTGGAAAGATGAGACAAAGGAGGGGGGGACGGGACAGAGCTGTCTGTAGGAACGATGCCTAATGAGTGACAACGAAGGGAGCTTGAGGAGCAGGATTTATCAAAACTGTAAGCGACTCAGAACATACACCTCTCTGACATTGTTCTCCTGATTCTGGCTGATCTGTACTTTAGGAGGCAATGCACCAGTGGTACCAGCACTACCAGGCAGCGCAGGCACACACCTATAGCACCACCGCCCCACACGACGCCACGGCCACAGACTACAGCAAGGAGCACACACAGGTAACAGGATGTAAATGCATCCCTAGAGCCTTATTTCCACAATATAAGGCCTTAAAATGTCTTTAATTTGTTAGAAAAATGGAAGTTGACTTTAATTGTGTTATTCATAGGTCTTAAATGTTATGGCAGAACTTTCTATGTTGTTTATTTTTCTTGAGGGACTTTTCTTTCAGGCAAACATTTGAGTCGCACGCAGACATCTTCACTCTGTTCTGTAACTTGAGATAGTTGAGACTACCGCTAACTACACTTCTTGACACTCTTTCATAAAGGTCAGATTGGTGAAGAGAGCAGGTAATAGTTCCCCGATCAACAGATTCTCCCATCAGAGTTGTGAAACTCAGAAAGCCAACCTGAAATCCTACCTGATGTGTTCTTTGGTCTTTATGACGCTTTTTGTTCGGTAATGTTCTCTAACATATAAAGGCTTCACATCTGGATTTATACTGAGATTAAGCACCTCACAGGAGGAACATTCTGTTAAAAGATGTTGGAAGGTTGGATTATATTTTGCAATGAAAAAAAACATATTGAAGTTTATGGCTGCGTTACAAAAAAAAATGCATGTTTAGAGGATATAAAATCCTTTACAAAACACAGTTTATAGTGAAAGATTTTTGAAAGGGCTTCCCAACCTGTTCTTAGAGTTTTTTTTATAAATTAGGATCAACTTGTGAAGTGATAGTAATTTCTGTGACTGTAAGCTGATTGTGTTCCAGGTTCCTGCTGCCTCCACCTACGGGGATTACACTACCTACATGCAGGCTGTCACTCAGTACTACTCCCAGCCTGCAGCAACCAACCAGGCCTTCGCCAGCAAGGTACCCAGTCTGACAAAGCTGCAACCAACACCTCATATTCTCTCCAATTACACTGAACATTTTGTTATCAGCGTTCTCTGTAGCAAAAGAACAAGTTTGTTTTAGCATATTAAGTTAATGAGCCATGAAAATCCTTATATGTAAATGTAGGTAAATAAATTTAATCAAAAGCTTGATGCAAGACAAGCTTCCATTCAATTAATCCATATAAGCACCAATTCACAACAAACGTCTTCTGGTACTTTGTAAAAATTAATGGAAGTCATTTCAAATCAATCATCTTCAGTCTTCTGAAGGGTTTACATTCAGATTTATTCAGGTTTTATGTAAGTGTCATACACAAATGTGATAAATATTGAGTATGGTCTGTAACAACCACTAGAGGGCAGAAAAGTTAACAGCTGGCAGAATCATGAGATGCAGATTAGAAGTGTATAATTTTAGGGGGTAGTTTCATCCTTGCAGCTTGTTGACTGATCTTTTTTTGCATCGATGTGTGTGTGTTGCAGGAAGTGGAAGTGTGTAAGCCTTTGGGGGTCCCACTGCATGCAGTCAGTAACGGTCCAGCACCTCCTCCCGCAGTCCTACCTGCCGCCGCCGTGCTCCCAGCCTACAGCACCCTGCCTTTAATGCCCGGCTTCCTCGGAGCTCCACACCCTCCTGCAGCTACACCCGCCTCCGTCACACACGCACACACTGCAGCCACCGACTGGAACACGTACTATTATGTGAGTGGAGATTACATAAAACAAGTTGTTGGCCATTTGTACTTTCATACTTTTCTAAGTGAAGCTCAGAGGGAAAAAAGGTAATGATATAATATTTTCATCAGCTTAAAAAAGAAATCTTAGTATTTGCTATTGCAGGTAAGTCTCTTAGAATTTCATATACAACATTAATCAGCAGGTTAGGTATTTTACTGTGTGATGTTCTGTCTGACAGTTTCTCTCTCATTATCAGCACCATTGTAAATTTAAGTTCCAATATTTGGTTCAAACATCTTTGTATTTTATGCTTTTAGAAGACCGTTAGCTTTATAAAGACTTAATGAAAGTGAAAAGTTGCATTACAGTAAAAACAAACAGAATTTCATTCTATTTCAAGCTTAAATGGCAGGTTTATTAATGTTGATATGTTCTCAATCTCCCACTTCCTGTGGAAAATGTAAACTGAATACATTCAGGTTTAAGATTATTTTAAATCGTTGGATTTCATTTCCTCTCTATTTCTTGAAATGTTCAAAGCAAAATGTTTTACAAAGTGTTTCTGAGGGGTTTTTCACTAACATACTACAGATCAAATGTCATTCAAGAACTGAATGAAGCTAAAGAGCCATAAAAAGTGAATTTCCTTCTAAGCTTTGAATTGAAATTACAGGGAACAATTGTATTGACCTGAATCCTTAAATGGTAATGTGTTTTAGTCAATAAAAGCTACATAAATACTGAAAACCAAACAACTGTTCTACTCGTATAAATCTAGGGCTTTGGGAATTAACACTGAGACATTAGTACAGCCTTTTCTTTAATTTGTACATTAAAACACCCAGAACCAATTAACACGGTGCCTGCACAGCCCACTTGTTTGGTATTTGAATTCTTGTCTTAGTAAAGTGTGACAAAACAAAATAAGAGGATTGAAAATATTATTTCAAACATTCTCTGCTATATTCTGTCCTTGTGTCCTTCTGTTCTTCTTTTGTGTCCTTCTTTTTCCTGTCTTCCCTTTGTCACCCATTTCCTTTCCTAGCATCCTTCCTTGTTTCCCCCTGACTTGTCTCATCCCCTCCTTTCTCATGTCTTTCCTTTTCCCTTCTTTTCTTGTGCCTTTCCTTGGTTCTTTCTTCCTCCTTGTGTCTATTGTTTCCTTGTTCCTCTTTTCATTGTTCTGTTCTTGTCACATTCCTTCTCTTCTCTTCTTCCTGCCTTCTGTTTTTCCATCTTTCCTTTCTTACTACATAAATGTTTTCTTGTATTTAGGGAGGTCCTTCCTTCATCTCTTCATTGTGCTGTTCCTTCTGTCTTTGTGTCCATCCTTCTCCTTGTCTTCCTACCTACCTACTTCCTTCCTTCCTGTTTCTGGTATTTCCAAGATATTTACGTCAAAAAATTGACATACATTTGATTTGTAGAAAAATGTCGGAACCCTGAATTACATAGCAGGGTTGTTACAGAAAGGTTGGCACACTTTCTGTATCAAGCCAGTCCTTCAAAGTGCTTACAACAATTCCTCCATACACCCTCCTATTAAATATATAATTATAAATATAATGATACCGTAGAGGTAAAACATCAGTGCAGCTTGCTTGGCTTTCTCTTTTCTCTTGTTTTTGTTGAAGAAGTTTAAGGCTGTATAATCTACAGGAGGAACACTGACGATGTAAACCAAACAGTTCCAGACTTCCTTGCCGGGTCTTGCCTTTAGTGAGATTTACGTTTGTTTGTGCAAACTGCCTCTGTGGCCCCCTCGCTCTGCAGCGACGCAGTGCTGAATCTGTACAAGTGCTGCCTCCTTTTTTCACTTTCCACTCAGTATTTCTCTTTAGCAGCGTTGAGAATAGTTAGTATCTTACCTCCATTAGAGCGCATGCAGGTCAGTCTCTACATTAATCATAAGTGAATATGATTAATTTAGGATGGATTGATGGAGTTTGTCCACTGCAGATTGTATTAGAAGTTTAATCATCAACAAGTCGTATCAAAACAGTGTCATTATGTTTACAATGGGATGTGTGTTTTCTGAATGTTGTAGCTGTGCGTGTTGAGTTAGATACCTTCAGCAACAGAAACTCATGTTGGGGTTTGTTTTCTGTTGCTGTCGAGAAAACTCTGCAGTATTTGACACTGCAGTGTCTGAAAGGTCTTTTTGAGTTGAATGGAGCTCAGTCCTGATTATTTCTTCACTTTGAAACGTCCTAGTGTTTCAGCACATGATAACTTTGATTTTAATGAAGTATTAGAGTGTGACTGATTGGGACATTACTAATACTGAACGTTTTTGAGGATTAGGGGATTTGATATAATACCGCATGTTTCCAAATCAAACTAACTTGTTTATAGTTAGCATCCATTTCTGTTGAAGTGGATGAGTTCCTTTGGACTTTCTTTACATTCACTATGCATAGAGCTTGTTTTCTGCTGTGGTTTCAATATCAGATATGTGCTCTTCCCATAATGCCTAATGAAGTTTATTTATTTGTTTACTATTTAAATAATAAAAGCTAATTGCAACACTAATTTATCTCTTTTATGCATCATCTGTTTAGGCATTTGACAAAAGTATTCCAGTAATAGGATGAGGAATACTTTGCTGCTTTATTTAACTGCTGTGCTTCAAACATCTAGAATATGAAGTTGTTCCACTTCAAACGTAGGCCCAATATAATAACACATTTCACTGGATGAAACATTGTCCCAGAAATTATTTTAATAAATTAAAATGTTGTTTTTTGAGACCAATTTCAAGTAATACATGGATAATGGTTAACGATAGATAACATGGAAAGAAAAACCTCACACACATCCGAAACCATAGATAAAATTAATTATTTCTTTGTAAACAAAATCGCCCTTCAAAAATCATTAATCACCAGAATTGAAATGATCAAGGTCATTTTAACTGCTACAGGCTTATTCAAGCAAACATTGTGGGTTAAAATGACCTTTTTGCCAAATAACCTTTTTTTAAGCGACTTTGAAACAAAACATTCTGATCCATCGTTTTCAAATCCTTCCCGCCTGTCGCTTTCTGTCTCCTCAGAACCAGACCCGTGGCATTAAGAGGGACTACCCTCAGCTGGCGGTGCAGGAAGCGCCGCCATCGGAGAGCGCGTACATCGGGCAGCACTCCCAGGGCCTGGGGGGGCAGTATGCCGACTACTTCAAAAGGAAGAGGCTGTAGAGTGAACCAAATGACCTTAAAGCCCACAGCTTCAGGAGGGAGACACAACCAGCTGGATGTCACGGCTCCCTCTAGTGGCCTTTTCTGTGGCTGCCATTGTGCGTCCCTGCAGTAGGGGTCAGGTTGGGTTGAGTCAGGGTTGCAGATGGCCAGAGTGAAAACAAGCCATAGTGCTCTTTGATTTTGAAATTTTAGTACACTCTTTCACAGTATTGCTTTTGTCTTGTTCAAGCCTTAACTATTTATCTTAAATGTCAGTTTCTCTGTCATTGTTCCTAACTAATATTATCTCTTTTTTTTTTTCAAACATAATCTAAACTAAAGTATATTATATGTGTGTGTAGAAGCTGCTTTTGTATTTGAAGGCAGCTGACCTGTCTGGATGCTGAAACTGCCCCTTCCCCCCATTTGGTCCTTTCAACGTCTTTTTTTTTTTTTAAAGAAACTCTCAAATTTGATTCGTCAGTCAGACTGACATCCGTTTCTTCTAGCTTCACTGCCTTTTATTACCCAGGACTCTCTCTAAACCTACCTGACGGTGTGTGTGTGTTTTGTGTGTTGCTTTGCTGTTTTCTGTAGGAAGCGTCAGCCATTTCTATCCCAAGTTTTGGGAGAACATCAGGAAAAAAAGGGTTTAAATCAATCAAATCCCTTAATTTTGGTGAATTAAATGGAGTCCCTCAAAGTTGGACTTTTCAGATGTAGATTGAGGGAATAAAGTAAATTAACTGCTGTGTAAATATTGCAGTGTAGTATAGAATATATTAAGCCATGCATAACAGACAATAACACATAAATTAAAGGGCGATTTGATGCTCATTTTTGAGTGTGGTGTACAACAGGAAAAAAATATTCAGCGTCAGATTTGTTTTGTCGATCTACAATATACTCTTATATATTTGTAATATAATATGCCGAGGCAGTTTGAGTATTGTATTAACGATAAGTCCTGATGAGACTTTAACGTAGTTATTTGGTTTGTTTTGTACTGTTTAAGCCAAATATTTGGGTGCAGTTTTCCTCCTCTGCTGTTTTTGTTGTAAATCATTTTCTCTCTTTTTTGTTTTTCTGGAAGTTTTGTTGAAACTGTAACAGGAGCTTTAATTTCATATTCAGCCACCACTTTCATAAACCCTTGAGACTGTAGAAGTGATTCAATACAGAATTACTGCACAGCTAAAAAAAAAAACATGACTGAGGATTCTGCATGGGAACTGTTAAATATTAATGGTTGAAAGTAATAAAATGGCTCCAGGAGGCTCCCCATCCCCGCCTTAAAATATATTTGTTTAATTTGTAGAAAAATAATTCAGCAGTTCCATTGAGCGATGGAATTATCTCTGACATTTAGCAGTTTAATTGGATTTGCACAATGAAAATACAGTTCTGGTACACACATCAGCATTAAAGTCATATTTATTCGTGGGTTTTAATGATTTACTTGAACTGGGGTTTTTTAAATCATATTCCTGGGTGAAGTAGATTCAGTTATTATTTTCATTTGATAAAAATGTTTATTCCCGAATTGAACATTTCCACTTGTATTTGTATTTTGCAGAAAACTCCTTGCCATCACCCTAATCTTTAGCTCCCTTTACAAACTTGCTATCAATTTGAAATCTGGACTGGGCCGCTGCAAACATTCAACATACTTCTGTTTCTTCTGGTTAGAAGAAACATGCTGATAAAATTAAAACATTGTGTTTAAATCAGCAGGATCAGGACAGCAGTGGAATGTCTCCACTGTCTTACTAACAATGATATTATGTAAGCTTGTGGTCAGAACTGTATGTTAAAGAACAATGTGCAACATTTTGCTCTTAATTTATTTGACCAGTTTCATAGCGGTAGAGTCAACCAGATTATTTTCTTTCATGCGATTAAGATAGTTTGTAAGTTTTTCTGTTGTAGGATGAATGAAATCTAGATTTCTTTTTTGCACAGTGAAACCAGATATTTACATACACTCTACAAAAAAAATACATCAACTTTTTTTTCCTCCAACATTTATTTGGACTAAATCAGCCATGTTAATCTTGCTTTATATGTCGCTTCTGAAATAATGGCTTCCTCTTTGCTGGATGGCCTTTCAGGCCATGTTGGTAGAAAACATGTCTCATTGTGTATGATGACAGGTTTACCAGCTGGAGTCGGCATCGCCGCAGACTCTCCTGCTTTTGGTCTGCAGTGAGACCAAAACACTGGAAGCCGTCTCCTTCCTGAACAGTGTGACGGCTGGACGTTTTCTGGGTGTTTATAGTTGCGTGTAATTGTTTGAACGGATTAATGTGGCACCTTCATTCGCCCGGAAACTGTAAGCAAGGATGATCCAGGCGAGTTGAGCTTTTTCTGATATGTTGGCAGATTGTTTTTTTTTTTACTTTGATGGAAGCAGTGTGTTTGAGGTGCTGCTTTATAATCAGAGGCTTTCAAAGCCGTTTTACAATCTGGACTTTCCCAAAGTATTTGAAAGCGCAGTAACCTTGGTGCATGTAATCTGAAACAGGAAATACATAGCCTTTGTTGGACAGTGTATGTCAATAGCTGGTTCGATCTGGGTACTCTTGATACTCTTTCTTTATGTATTCCTTGCAAAAACGATTTTGGTAATATTGTAAAGCCAGTATACAGAAAGCTTGTATAATGAGAGCAGGTTTGCTTTTTCATCACAGTTTGAACATTAAAGTTTAAGTGCACTGACTTAAAAAGGCAATAACCAAGGCTCCAACTACTGTAAAAGGATGAATGTATAAGGTTTTTATTTGAAGTCTTCAGCCATTCTAAACTGGCAATGGTTTATACACATGGTTACAGCTTTCTCATTTTTTCTATCTCTATTTTTCATGTCTTTGCATTTTGCTTATAAATTTCAGAATTTTATATATCTGAGAATAATATCACTTGTATTGCCATGGCAGTAATGCTCACACACTGTGAAAACCAACAACAACAACACGAGGTAAAGCAAATCTGACGTGTTTGTAACTGCAGGTCAGATCGACGTGACGTTTAGATCCACACAGAAATAATGGGAAATCAGAATGCTGAGGTTCAGGTATTCTTATAAGGTGTTCAAATTGTAATGAGGGTCATTTTGGTCCAGTAAATAAAAGCAATGACCTAGAAAATAACATTTACACCAGAGCTGAACCAGGTCACACATCTTTCCCCTGCAGATCATCAAAGAATAATAAAACCCATGTTGAAAATTGTATGAAGAAGATTAGAGCAACAAAATGTTTTTTTTTAAATATTGATTCTCAGTTCAGTACAAAATTTTAAATGAATAAGTGGCTTTCTGTAACTGCATGACAAATAACAGCTGGTGATTATAATATTTGAAATGGAGAATCCACTGGTTACAAATTAAACTTGAGCTGTTCTTTGAATATAAACTCTTAGCATTTGGTACGGAGCAGTAATGGAAACAGACAAAGCGCCTTGCAAAAGGTTTCCTGCCCTTGGAATATTTTCCAGGTTTTTTTTTTTAACCATGAAATTACTAACTTCAATGGATTTCATTAGGATAAATGGCTTTCTAAAATAAAAATTGAAAAGTGTGGTGTGCATTTTCATTTAGTCCCTTTGAGTCATTACATTGTGAAACCATCTTTCACTGTGGTTACTGCTGGTCTCTCTACCAGCTTTGTATATTGATTGAAATACTTTTGCAAGGCACTACAACAGCATGAAAGAATTTATACTTCCTGTTTTGAACCTTCGACCACAGAGCCAGTCAACAAGGGTGGTAATATATATTCAAAACACTTAATTGTCATATTGGAAGCACTTTGCTGTCATCTAGTGTCCACAGTTTATGTGATTGTTTAATTTTCCCAATTTGAATTAATTTCCTTTTGGCTTTATCCCTACTCAATCAACTCAGACCACTCTCACACATTACGGTTGACTCTGGTCTGTTCCAGCACTGGAAGTTGATTTCCCTCCTTAGTGAGCAGCTATGATAGTGATTGGTCTTGTTTCAGGATGGAAACAAACACCTAAGGAGTGAGCGTTGTGTCGTAGCCACAGGTGAAGTTTAAGATTGAGGCAGCAGGATTTGAAAAGTATTTGTTGCGCTCGTCTGCTGTGCCATTTGTCTCTTTTACTTCGAATAGATTTCTGTCTGTTGTACCGATCATTTTCTTCACAATATGCCATCATCGCCATTTAGAATTGCTTGAGAATACAAACTTTATATTGTGAAAATTAAGGGTTGTATAACTTCCCCTGTAACTGCATACCTTGTATTGAGAGCTACTGGGTTGCTGAAATGATTTTAGATTCATACGAATGTGTTGGAGCAGTACAGTATTGCTCAGTTTTTTTTTCTTAGGGCTGCTTATATTCTCTCTGGTTTCCCAGCTCTGATTGTGTCTGTCTTGGAGTATTATTCCATATTTTTTCTCATGGCGTATGCATATTTGGTAACTTTTTTGAACATTGATGCTTTCATTTTGTTTTGTGTTCAGTAACTTCTACAAATAGTGCTTCACATATTAAAAGTAGTAGACACTTTTCTATAAACGATTTTCTAAATTTTGCTTTAAGAATTGGAAATTAAAAACTTGACTTTTTGCAAACCCCATACAGGAAATAAGTTTACGCAATCTGCTGGGTCCCATAACTTAGTACTGCTGTTTTTTCAATGTAAATACATGTAATTATATTTGTGTCAACTGTAATTTAAAGGATTGATAATTTTGTCTTGAGCCAGAAAACATTTAATTTCACATTTATTTTATTTTCACATTTAAAATATGAACTGAACCCATATTTTTTTAACACATTAATGAAATGTTCACGTATCGTTAATATCTTTCTTTAGGAGCAACAGCTTTCTTAAGCTTTCAATATTTACATAGAAAGAGAAATTATCCATCATTTCAAATCTGCTGACTTATGTGTTTGTATCGTCGTCTCGTCCGTTTGATGTCTCGTCTATGTGCTTTGACTTTGTCCAGTCTTTGTCTCAATACAATTTTAATTTAGATTTTCATGAGCAGCACCAAATTAGCCACTCACAATGATGTATTTGTTTTTGCATTTTGTAGACTTTCAAGTAACTACTAGTATTTAACTGAACAAAATGTAATGAACAAAGTTAGAACTGATGTGCTGTATTTTAGGCTGGCACAGTGTTCTGTATATTTGCTTAAAAACTTTACAATTATGTGTATCATTTGGGTGAAGTGACATGATGATCTGTTGTATTTATAAAATGGTGTCCATCCATTTTATTATTTTACACAAAAGGGATGCTTCATGATTTCAACATATGGACCCGCTGTTTGCTTTTGGTATTTGCAGAGGCGTTTGTGGGATCGTATTGTTGGTTTTATTTTATTTACACCAAAAGATTCTAAACCAAACTAGACAGACAATGGACTTGGATTCATTTCATACTTCCAGTTTCATGTCTCTGGTGTGAATGTCTGTAAGCAAAGAGCTTTTCCAGCCAGTATCTGTCAGGACATGACTTTAATCGTCTTCCTGTAAGAAGCAATCGGCTGGAGATGTGAGTAATAATAAATTAACCCTGTCGCTCCTTTGTTTATTTGTTCTCTGTAGGTTTCTGTCTGTCACTTCTTGAGTTGATTAAAACTTCTCATTTGCGGCTGCTGTGATCCATTGAATTGCAAATAATGAACCGACGTTCCATCCACTGACACCGGGCGTTTGTCTGTCGTGCACTAAAAATGAGTTCCTGGCAGGCAACGGAGAAATGGGGGAGACAGACTGAAAGGAAATTGGGGGGGAAACAACTTCAGCTGCCTTCAGCCGCTCAGCCTGCAGGGATTATTCCTCCACTGTGTGCTCCCTCACTGAAGTGTGTGTTGTCTGCTAGACGCCTGCGCTTTGCAGGCACCTGTAGAGCTGTCACATGTCTCCTCTCGATGCTCGGGGGATATGAACCAAACTGTGCGCTTGTTACCTGCAGAGTGAATCATTCTCAGCATCAACAGAGAAAGGAATTATTAGAGATGCTCAGGTGATAGATGGCATTACTTTCTCTACATTTTTCTTCCTATTTTGAGTTTGTCGGTGTAATTCTGATCAACACACACATTAGCTGAACCGATGTTCTCTGAAGTAAGGCGATGGTGATCTGACACAACAAATAGAGTTTTGGAGTAGTTCAATTAAGCAGAAAATCTTCACTTCATACAAGGGCCCTCAGCTATTGAGAAAATTGCTTCCTGGGGATGTGGACTGTGAAAATTTTACTTGTTTCTTTCAAAAGATTTTCTTGGTTCCCTGGCGCCTTATTTGACAGAAAAGTGGGTTACGAAAGATGGGATGACATTCGGCAAAGCTCAGCAGGCTGGCGTTCAAACCTGTGATGCCATGTGCATGGATTGTGCGCCCAAAAATTCTACCCGATACCTGAAGATTAGCTGTGACGTTAATTTGACACTATGAAGCTTACTGGAAATTCCCTGTGCTGTGTGCAGTTCTGCAAAAGCGGAAGTGCCCAGCGGAACAACATGGCTGTTTTAATACAATATATGAACGCTTGGACTGAATGGCTTCATCCACTTCCTCCACTGCCACTGCTAAATCTGCAGGTAGACGGCAATTCTGTCTGTCTAAGCAGGTGGAATTGCTCTGTGAGTTCAGGTTAAAATTCAGACTTCCTGTTCTGTTGTTGGGTTTCACAGTGTACTTGTGTGAGAATCTGCACATTACAGATTGATCAGTAGAGGCTGAACTTTGCAACAGTGAAAGAAGAGGGAAGTCTCTTGATCACACGTTTGCAATATTTATACACTTGGGTGTTTTTTTTTTTGACCAATTTAATGGTTGTAAATAATTTTCAAATGAGTGTTTACTGGTCCACACTAACATTTTTGCTTTTCAAGTGTGTTTTCTAACAAACTAGAGTTTGGGGAATTTTATATTACACTGACATTAATATTCTTTTACCGTTAAGATATTTCTAGAGCAGATTTGGCATGACATCACACTGCTGCACAATATAGAACCATTTTCATTTGAACATGTCGCTTTAAACATAAAGAAAACTGAGACCTTTTATTTATTTTTTCATCAAGAGTTTATGTCTTTTTTTTCTTGAAAAATTATACATGTTTTTTCTTAGAGCAGAAGGATTTGCCTTTTACATTCCTAAATAAATTGTGGATTAAAGCGCATCGTGTGATCTTGACCATTTCGTCTATGCCTGACAGACGGACTCATGGGCGGCATTTAGGGCAGAAAAAGTCCCTTCAGCTCCAAGCAATTCCACTAATGTGGATAAATACACTTTTTATACTTGTGGAGTATTGTGAAACTACATTTTAAAAAAAAAAGTTAAATGCACAAACATGTTCAGCTATAAGATGTGGGATTATTTTTAAAATAAAGTCATTTGGTTGGAGCAACTCCTGCCCATCTATTGTCATCTCCCAGTGAAATCTGCAGCTGTTGCTCTTGTGCAGCAGAACATTTACAGAATATGGGTTCTGACATGCCTCCACTTGCTCCGTGTAAGGCTGCAAAACAGAGGGGAAATAAAGCGCTGCTGCCCCCAAGTGCCTGTCTTAGAAACACTTTTCCTTAACCACGTTTAACGTTACATCATATTTGGCTCACTGATCAATTGCACAATAAAAAAAGAAATAAAAAAACACAGTTCCTGTGCAAATACAGGTTAAACAGTTGATGCAAATCAGGATGATGGTTTTTTCCAATCAAGTTGGACATTTTCTAAGACTTCAGACCAATTTACCCCAATTAAAATTTTGCTACTGATTTTTCTATGTAAGACTGAAAGTCATACAGTTATTAGATTACTGGCTAATTTAGTTCCACCTATTATAAGCTGCATTTGCACATCAAATCTATGCAAACCGATAAAAATCCATGATGCTCAACTCGGATCGTGCCATTTTTCTCTCAAAAAAGGAGTCCATGACCCAGCAGTGGCACAAACCGTTCCTCCTGTCATGATGCCACGTCTTCAGAGCACTACAGTATCCTAGCAGGTCCAGAAACATCAACTACTTTATGTAGAATATAAGATTTGTTTCTTCATAAATGTTCATTACAACAGGAAATATCAAGATTATAAGTTCCAAATGCGAAGTTTCTAAAAGTATTGTTAGGCTACATATTTATATATATTTTTCCCTCAATGACGCAGAAGGTTTATGGGCGATTATGACAGAGGATTTCCTCTGCGATGTGAAGCTGAGCGTGCAGCTAATGGTCCGATTTGGCAGTTTGCTCCTGGTCTCGTGTTGCTTTCACAACAGAACCTAGTGGAGGTTTACAGGCTGTTCTGCTGGTGGTGCTGCTGCAGGATGGACAGCTCCTCAATCAGACGCTTGAAGGTGATTCTCCGCTCCGGAGCGTGCTCCCAGCACTTCCGCATCAGCTCATACACCTGGAAAATAAAAACGGATTTTAAACACTTTCACAGTTTGTCTTAAAGCAGGAAACAAGTCTGCCAGCCACTTACACACGTGGCAATGTTTTGATACATGAATTATTACTGTAGAGTGTAATATGTATGAACAGGAGCACTTTGTTTGTGAACAAGCAGTCAAATTTTGAAGTGTCAGATGAATTATTCTGTCAATTGATTACACTGTAAAACTGAAAAATTTTAATGCAACTTCATGTTTGTTTTTTTTAAGAAAAGCCTTAAGATATCAAAAAGCTGAGTCATTTAAAGGTAGCTGAACATCTTGTGACTTGTTTGAAAGTTCAATCAAGTTGAAATAGGCAGTGAGCTGTCAAAGAGCACAAAGATGTTACTGATTTTTGTGGAATTCTGAAGAACTTCATTTGAACTGAAATGTGCATAAAAGCTTAAATATTTACAAAATTGTAAAAGCTGACATTACCAAAAGAAATACCAAAAGGCTTTTCTTTTTTTTTCTGACTGAAGCATGAGGAAGTAGGTAAGAGCCAAAAAATGTAGAGAGAATCTTCAGTCTAAAATCTTACAATAGAAAATCTTACAATAGTAGGCTACAACACATTATTATTTACAGCTGACCTCTTTCTTTCAATGAAACAAACCCGCAACAAAACACTGACTGCTGTATTGCAGCTTAGTTTATTATTTTTTCCTGGCCTGTGAGTGCTTTCGACTTGACAATTTGTGACAAAATTTGGACACCCCTGTTCGTTCTGAAACTGCCTCACACAGATTGGAGTTCTGTCTGTGCACACTAATGTGAAGGAAAAACTAACTAAAGTTAAGAAAAATCATAAACGAAGTTACTTACACGGCTAGGGCAAGCTTCAGGACAAGCCAATCTTCTTCCATCCTGCAGAACATTCACCAAGCGGACGATGGTCATCTGGCCTTGAGCTCTCCCGATCATATCCAGAAAGCACTGTGAAGTTAAGGACGAGAGCAAATCGCAAAGTTATTGGTTATGTTTTCAATTACTCTTTAATATAAAAAGAACTTTAGTAAGCTATTATATTTTCTCATTATTTGTGCATTTTTAAATGTTTGTTTTGTACCATAAAGACTAATGTAGCTGTGCCCAGTTGTTTGTAGTTTTTAAGATTTTAGAATGTGATTGGATGAAACAATCTGAATATAAGAAAAACGGTCCCAACATTTTATCAGCAGGTCGTAAAAAAGGGGAACTTATGAAAATCTATTTTATTAAATAACTGTCCATACAGTTTCCTCTGTTCTTCAGTTTGGTTCTCAACATCATCCACAGATAAAAGCCTGATGTTGGTGACGGATCTCCATAATAAGCTAAACTCACACCGCTGGCACAGACTGCTGCTTCGATTGCTTCTAGTAAAACACTTCATCTGCTTTTATTGGCCAAAGAATTGTGCCATCTGCCACAGGCAAATAACCATGTGGGCAATGCGCACATGGTGTGATTGAGTGTGAATGTACATGTGCTTTGATGTAGAATCATCTGAGCACAAAGAGGAAACACTGACCGCCATTGGACTTTTGGAGGAATCGCAGTAGGTGATGATTTCATACATGGTCACTCCGAAGGACCACACATCTGAAGCAAGGTAAAACTTGCACTGAGTCAGACACTCAGGAGCATACCTGAAAATGGGTTAAAAAAGGTTTGTTATTCATATATAGAGCCCTTCAAAAAAAAAAACAAATAAAAGAACATGTTAATGAGTCATTTTTGTTCTCAACTAACCAGAAGACGGGGCTGTCGTTTTCGTCCTTGACCGTGTAATAACCGTTGTTTTCCTTGAGGCTTTTTGTGAGACCAAAATCTCCGATCTTCACCATGCCTTCTTTTTCCACCAGCACGTTTCGGGCTGCCAGGTCGCGGTGGATGTAGTTCCGAGATCCCAAATAATCCATGCCCTAAAAAAAGCAAAAACAAAAACACACACATATAACATAAATGAGAAAGTTTTTAGCCACTTGAGACTGAATAATTTCACATGACAAAAGGTCCCAGGAATAAAGATTGTTACCCGACATATCTGGATACAGTAGCTTAGCAGGGTGCCAAGACTGGTCTGGTTCTTGTATCTGGGAAGATACTCCTTCAAACTGCCCAGTGGAAGATACTCCATTATCAGCTTGATGGTCTTT